ATATGTATACACCCTGTAAGATACTGAAATTGTAAGAAGGTGCACAGACCTGTTCACACTGGCCGTAGAGGTCGATGAAGGGGTAACAAGGTGAAGGGATGTCCTGTGCCGCCACACCCTGGTCCATGCCATTGACATAGAGGTGGAGACAGCTGTTAGCGTCCACCAGCAGACCCAACACTGTCCCCTCTGGACAAGTGTCCAGATTAGGACCATAGTTCTCACATATCTGAGCAGGAGAAAAATATCAGGGGATAAGCAAAATAAATTTGAGATCGATCAAACAGTCAGTAAGGCTGAATGTTTGTTTCTTATGCATGACAAAAAATGTATTATCATTTTTGACATGGTACAGATTTTTGTTTCTGAAGTTTGTGTACATACCTTTAGCGAGTTGTGGAAGACAGAGTCTCTCTGCAGCAGCCAGGCGGAGCGTTTGAGACAGCATGCTGTGGAGGGGAAGTTGAGCCGGTCGGGGGAGTGGCCTATCACCCCTAACGACAGCGATGACGTCCATGATGGATTGAGACGATCGATCTGAAACTGGGAACCAAAAAGAGGCTGTTGATGCACAGTGCACACAAGATATGTGCTTTTATTTAGCATTATTATCAATGTAAGTATTATATCAACAGGCTACAAAATCAATTATCTAAATAAAAGGAATTCACTGTTAGAGGCAGTAAACCGTGCAGTACCTGGAACAGCTGCTGGCGAGCCAGCGGCTGAGCAGTGACCAGCAGGCCCTGGTTGTAGCTCGACACTCTGGCTGCTGTCAGGTTCTGGTTGGACAACTGGATGTTTTTGCCGTGGTTCTCCAGGAACGCCATGACAGTGGGAACCAGTGCACATGGCTCAGTCTCAACCTGGAGTGACACAACGAGTGATGTGTTGAATAACATTTGATTAAAAATATTAGAAGTAAAATGTGATTAACAGATCCTTGTGCCAAACTGACCAAACGTCTGCAGACAGACTCTTCTGGCTCTTACCTCTCTGACTGGGCTGCTGTCCTCCTCTCCCTCACTGCAGCTCTCTGAGGAGAGCGAGGGCTCCTTCACACTCTCCATGTCCTCCATCAACGAGGAACTGACGATGGACACCGCTGTTATCCGCCCGTACAGGTCCAGCACTGCATAAACATTCTGCAAGAAGCAAGAGAGCAGTGCTGAATGGCAGCGTGGGGAAAAGTCACTATTACACAGTGTGTGTGCATAGAGAGAGAGAGAGTGTGTGCGTACCTTGGCCACTGCAGTAGCAGCAGATCCCATGTCTTCTCCATCAATGAAGATGTGCATGGTGTCATCGCTGCACCTCTTCACGCCCACACGGTTCCCAACCTGGAATCACACATTTAGTCTTTATCTTTACTGTGTCAGTGAAACCTGTACAGTGTTGATGAAGCAAAAAAAATCATCTCCACGGTTCAGTTTTTCCAGAAATTTCAGAAAAGGGTGCAGTTTTTTTTCAATTTTTTAGACTGAAATTTTGAATAATTTAGTCACCACAGAATATTAGTCCATAAACATCAAGTTGACAATGCATCTCTTTTACATTTTGCCTGAAGACTAAGAGTAAGACTAAGACCAAGACCCACTGGAGATCAAGATATTCTTGAATAACTTTTTTTCTGAAGGTCATAGAGACTTGGAAGTTGGTTCCATCTAAACTAATGTGGGTATGCCCGATCCATTGGTACCATCCCCGAGCTTCTACGGCCTTCAGAAGGGGTCAAACCACCCAAAATTTTTAAAAAAGTACAAGTTATTTTTGAATTACTTTTTTTTGGAAAGTCATAGAGACTTGAGCATTTCATGATTATAAAGGTTAGCCTACCAGGCACCCACGCCGAATTTCAGCACATTTTGAGCAAGCAGCGCAGAGTTAATCACCCTATGGTGAATATGGGTTAGGGTTGAAATTAGGGTTAGGGTTGTGATTAGGGTTAGGGTTAGGATCCAGGACAATGTTACTTTGCCTTAAACGATCCTTGACATTGTAAATCTAACTGATTTCCACGAAGAGCTGCAAGAATTAGTCACGTGTGGCTTCTATCTGTCCAGTAGCTCAGAGAGTGCAGCTTACCGTCAGACGGTCCAGTGAACAGCCGTAGTTCTGGCGCTGCAGCACCCCATTGCGACGGACCTCGGAGCCGCAGAACAGCCAGGTGACCTTGGTGCGAAGGTGCGGGAGGGAGGGCGAGAGACCTGACAGCGGGCAGGACGGCAGCTCCGTGGGCGCCAGTGTGGTGAGACCGATATGCAGTGAGCCACACCACTGCTCGTCCACTTCATCAATCCTCACCTACAGACAGACACAATGGAGAGAAGAAATCAAGTACCAGCTAGTAAAGAAACTACATTTGTATTGGAGTATATTTCTAATATATGTTGCTGCCAGTTTTTAAGAGCTTAATATGGCATATTATAAAAAACACATACAGAGTGGGTATAATGTTTATTTCCGGGTAAAGTGGTTGCTCTGAATGTCTCTTACCTCAAACAACTCGTCCGCTTTGAGTTCCTTCGCACTGAACACGATCCCGTGAGCAAAACCTCCGACTCTGACGGCCTGGCAGCCCTCACCGAGCAGCACCACGTTCTTACCGTGTTTACTGTGGAGCCGATGAGCAACGCCTGCTACTACACAAGAGAAGAAGACAGATGTGAAATTTGAACTTTTCACCATTTTTTCATTTTAGTCCAATATTGCTGTGTGAATGGGCAAACAATGGTAATTACCTGGAGAGTGGATGGGGAAGCTCTTCTCAGTGATGTTGCTGGTACAGAGGCTGTTGTCCAGGGGACCTGAGGAGCTGGTGATGGACACCTGAACACACTGACCATACAGGTCGATGACTGCAAACACCTCTGAGAGACAGAAAGGGATGGAAGAAGTGCAAGATGATCAAATCCAAATTTCAGTCAGTGGTATTTAAACTCAATGTGTCCTGATTTCACATTTCTGTCTTTTATTATCTACCTGGTGGCAGACCGGTGCAGGCGACACCCTGGTCCACGCCATTGATGTAATAGTGGAGGTCACCACTGGCTGAGCGCATCATGCCTATCCGTGAGCCCGTGGTCAGAGAGTCCAGGTCACACCCGTAGTTGTTGCGCATCGTGTTGCCATCTTGCATGATGGCTGTTCCACTGGAGGAGGAAACAAAGGATGAATCTTCAATGTAATGGTAAACACTGGACAAAATGCTGAAGAATCTAAAAGTCTACATTCCACGACCTGATTATATATATATTTTTTATACATTCCTTTTTCTTACATAAAATTCATAGTGATCATATAATCGACTAAAACTCAGAATTGTTGTCTTTTCTTGACCTCAGAATGAGCCTTTATATATACACATCATTTTTAGAACTAGACAATAGATGAACATGGTGATTCAATTTTCTAATGTTTATATTCACTCTACCTGAGCATCCAAGTGTCGTAGTCAATATCAGTCATGGTGTTTGGAAACTCGAGTTCCTCTGGCCTGATGGCTGTCACTCCTGCACACACAGACAGCGCTGATTGAGTACAGCAGCAGTGATTACACATGAAATAAACACATTCGTAACATGTCAAATGTTGGTAAATAAATGTGAGGTAACATCGATCAGAGTAAGGGACAGAAAAGATCATGAAAAGGTCAAATGATTGGACACAACGGAAATATCTCACCTGCTTCTATTGAACCCGACCAGCGGTCCACCATCTTCTGAATAATGATTTCAAACAGCTCTCCGTCTCGAAGGCACCTACAAGAATGGACTACATTAAAATCCTGAAGTTTCAAATCCTCTTACTATCAAATCTGCTTATTATGTGTAATGATCCATAGATGAACATAAATCGTCAAAAGTTACGCGGCGCGTGTTTCATCACCTGTTGGAAATGACGATAGCATCGTTGAACTCGCTGCGGCAGTTCTGACGCAGGGCGGTGCGCCCCCCGTTCGTGATGACGGCGTTGGTGCCGTGTAAATGGTGAAAACGCAGGTCGCTAGTCGTAGTGATCCCAGCCACTGAGCAGGGGCTCCCGGGGGACATGGCCGTGGGACCCTCTGAGCTGTCTTCTGGGAGAGGGGGGAGGTCCACTAACAAAGGAGAAGGTAAAGAGGGGAAATGGTTACACGCTGGACTTAGAATATCAAGTGATTTGAGCCTCCAAAGTGTCTGCCTCCCTCTCTCACCCATGTCGTCCATGATGGTGGCCTGAGCAGCCTGCCCGTAGAGGTCGACCACGGCATAGACACTAGGTGGGACGTTCCAGGCTGCTGGGCCCTGAGCCACGCCGTTCACAAAGAAGTGGAGGCTGCCATCTTCTTTCCTCACCACACCTACTGTGTCACCCGCCTGCAGGAAGGAAGACAGAAAGCAGAAAGTAAATAAAACTTTACTGTGTGACGGGTAAATAGGCCGGAAGTAACTGAGAGTTATAAAAATAACATCACTCACCTTGAGCCGGTCCAAGTTGTGTCCGTACTCGTCCAGTATTGTTGTTCCATTGTGCATCACGCCGTTACCTGTCATCATCCAGGTCCCTGCAATAAATGGTTTTCACATTTATTTTTGTAAACACTACTGGTGACTTAAACATTTATTATACAATCTTCCACCTGTCATCTGGTACTTCAGCAGAAACGATTGAAAACCTGATTACTGGGTTTTATTTTCACCTGAGCGCAAGTTAGTCATGGTGGAGGGCAGCTGCAGGTATGCAGGGTTGTGCGTTGTGACACCGATTTCGATGGAGCCCGCCCACTTGTCCACCATCTTGTCGATGCGGACCTGGAACACCTCATTGGAGCGCAGGGGCCGGCTGCTCAGGACCACGCCGTGATTGAAGTCATCAGTCGCACTGTGTAGATAGTGACATTCATTCGTAAGTGCATTGATGTTTCGTGCTAAAATGACTGCACATAAGGCGTTTATACAAATTATTCATTATTGACTCACATCTACATTTACTGGTGATTAGTAGACGTATTTAAAAAAAGAAATCTGGCTGGCTACAGAGCTTTTACATACAGAGTGAAATGTGTTTCCATCTTCCTGAGCATCAAAAACTGTGCTGTTATCTATTTTTTTATTTTTATGAATTTGAATAAAATCTCTGGAAACTGGAAAATGTATTTATACGAGCATGAACTAAAAAAATTTTTATTTGTATTTTGTTCAGCAAAAACAACAAAAGTGAATAAATAAAGAATAAGAAAATAAACAGTCGCAGAACACAGAGGAAAACCACAAAAACCAAGGTCTTCATTAGAACAAGTCAAAATCGAGCATGCACACATAAAAAACCTGTAAATAATTCAGGGTTAACGAGACGACCCAGCAGAAGCAGAAAGGAGGTGGACTCACTGTGGCCGCAGCGCTGTCCTGCCGTCACTGATGATGGCCGCCTTCTGGCCACAGTTGGGGTGGAAGAGCAGGCGGTCGGGCCCCTCTGGGTCGGGAGTGAGGGAGAGAGACGGCCGTGGCCGACCGACATCCGGGGATAGAGCCCTCATGATGGCGTTGTTGCGTCTGAGGCGGTCGCTGTGGTTGTGGTTGTGGACGATAGTGACTTTGACGGCCATGCCATAGAGGTCGACCACTCCGTAGACCACGCCGGGGGTCTGGGCTGCCGCGACACCTGGGAGGAACAGCAAGCAGTGAGGGGTCGAAACAAGAACATTCTCAGTTACAGTTTTTTAACTTACATCTTTATTAATATTGACTATTTTACAATAAGTCAACATAAGGATAATAAAAAATAAAAAACAGATATGTTCATGTTGGACTCTGAGCTTTCTTTCCCTCATCAGGCTTCCTGATGTGTCTCACCTTGGTCGATGCCGTTGATGTAGAAATGAAGCGCTCCGCTGGCTTTCCGCATCAACCCAATGAGATCTCCCTCCTAAAGCATGATGGGAGTAGTTGATGGAGATATAAAAACAGACAGATATGCACAGTAGGTGGCAGAAAGAAATGTGTGTGTGTGTGTGTATCAATGTCTGCATGTGTGGTGTCAAACCTGAAGCTCGTCAAGGCTGAATTCACAGTATTCCCTGCGGGTTCCTTTTCCGTTGGTTAGTATCCCACAGCCACTCATCATGATTGTACCTGAGAAGAAAGAAAAACATCTCTTTCACACATCTTATGTTCTGTTTAGAACAGTTCATTTGTGTTTGTGTGTGTGTGTGTGTATTTTACCTGAGCGCAGATTAGTCATAGTTGCAGGATAGTCCAGGTTGTTGGGGTTGTGTGTGGTCACACCAATCTCTATCGAGCCTGACCACTTGTCCACCAACTTATCAATACGAATCTGAACAAACAAACAACGTAAA